TATATTGTGGTAAAAAACAGCACTTAGCTACTCGATCACATCAAATTTAACAAAATTAAAGTTAGATTATAATTGTTAAAGTTAGATTATATATTGTTTTTTTTAATAAAAACATTCTAAATGTTTTTTACTTATATTTTTTTTACTGTAAAACATGTGCAGAGTGTTGCAACATCTTATAGCCTGCTGCAACAAGGGAGTGCTGCTACATTGACTATCTTATAGTCTGCTGCTTCAATGAAGTACCGCTACATTGACTAAAGGTTTGATTGGGGCAGGCAGTTTATTAAACATTAAAAAACTTTTTTATTTAAAAAATATATGTATATATATATATATATATATATATATATATATATATATATATATATATATATATATATATATATATATATATATATATATATATATATATATTTATATTTATATTTAAATAAAAGAAAACAAATTTGATAAAAAAATGTATTTCTAATTATATCTATCTGACTGTATTCTGCCATGACTTTACAGCGTTATAAAAGCTCACAAGCTGGAAAAAAACTATCCAATGCGACCAATAATTTCTGCTATCGGCACCCCTCCGTATGGTACCTCAGAATATCTTTTTAAAAATTATTCAGCCTACCCTAAACAAAAACAAAACATTCTTGTTGAGTTCTACATCATTTGTCAACAAAGCAAAATCCTGGTGTGTCAGTCCAGATGAAATTCAAGTATCATATGATGTAATAGCTTTGTATACATCAATACCAATTGATAAAGCTATACCCGTGATAATTAATTATCTTAACAATGGCATAACTGATATTAAAACAAGAACAAATTAACACTTACTGACATCCACCAATTAAAAATTTTTAATCTTTAGCCCCAAAAATGTTTGTGGTTAAAGATTAAAAATACACATGGGTTCCGGAGGTACTGTCAGTTAAAATAATGCTGACTCAGCATTTTAGTGATAATCTGAAGCAACTACAATGCTACTTTGACATTTAATATCTTTATAATGGCTTGGATAAATTTCCTAAAATTTGGTACCCCAATAGATTTTTACTTGAGGAATCCAAAAATAGCACCCTTAAGACTCGATTGTCTCAGTAAATGCCTTATTTATCCAATTTTATTCAAAATTATTGACTTGTAAATTCATGATTTTTGGAGGTAAAATGAAGACTGTGGCCCAAAATCCCGAGTAAAAAGTTTAATTGTATATCATTATTTTATCTTGGTTATACTGAAAAAATTAGATTCATCAATTGTCTCTCTAATACTTGATCAAAATTTGCATTTAAAAATTGTGTCTTTTTAGAAAAATTTTAAATTTTGTAATGAAAGCAATTAAAATATTTTTCAAAACATTTATTTGAATAAAACATCAAATGGTATTATTTATTGACTAGTTAAGGACATTTATAGTCATGGTCCAAGGAAGGGCCAGGGGGCCTCTGATAAACTCTGCCCCTCCCCCTCATTAACACACGCACACCATTCTCCCTAGATTTTTTTTTTATATTCATAAAATGAATTAATAATAATTATTAAAATTCAATTTGCAAACAAAATTTTTGATATAAGTTTTTTTTTAATATAAGTTTGAGAAACATTTTTTTTCATTAAAATGTATAAAATTATATGTTGGTTTTCTTCAGAATCTAAAATAAAAGAAAAAATTTGGTAAATATTTAGATAAAAAGGGAAAAACCTATGCAGTCATCCTGCATAGCATTTGGGGCTACCACACCCCTGATTCATGTATGTATATTTTGTACACTCCACTGCAAACATTGCTATATCAGTTAATTTATGTACGCATTGATGGACTTATTTCATGAAACTTTGAAAAATAAAAATGAATAATAAGCATAATTTTAAATAAACAATAATAATGGTCAAAACATAAAACTACTTTGATATAAAAACGTTAAAAAAATGTTCTCAGTAAAAGGAGTTGCACCAGCAACCTTATCAACTGCATCTTAATATTGGAGCAACATAATACCTATAGTGCTATGGCAACATATCAACCTACATAATAAAATTTTAGTATTTAAACATTATTTTCATGCAAATAGTATTTCCACTGTGTACTCATTATTTGTATGCGTTTCATTTAGTTAATAAACAAAACAAAAAAAGTCAAGTTTTTTCTTCCCAAAATCTTTCATTAAACTTAAAATCTAAAATTAAAATTAAAAAAATTAAATAATGCTTCTAGTTCAACTAAAATCACAGCGCAAAAGAATGTTTTTTTGTAAAAGCTCTAATTGTAGGAAGTAGTGATTATAAACAAACTCTAGTTTGATCTATAAAGTTTACCATAAAAGTTTGATCTTCGATAGCTCGAAAATTTACCATAAAAGTTTATTCTTTGATAGCTCAAAAATTTATAGATAAAACTAGAGTTTGTTTACAATCACTACTCCCTACAATTAGGTATTATAAGTTATAAGTCATATCATAGATCATTTAATGACCTATGATATGACTTACAACTTTTAGAAACTTCTTTTCATTTTACAATACCCATTTTAGTATAACGCATTTTTGGTGTTTTATAAAAACTTTTTGGTAAATTTTTTACAAATAAGTTTTTATAAAACAAAGCTTACATATCAATTTTAAAAATTTACAAAATGCACTGTTATTGGATTTTTTCTGGATATTTAATAAGAAATATTTTTTTGTGAAAAAAATTTCTGGTTTTTTAAAATATGACCTGAATGATTACTGGGTGTAATACTAGTAGCAAGACAATTGCTATAGAATATGATGGTATAATAATTGAAGATGCAGCTAAGGTAAACTAGTCATTAAGCGAGACATAATGCTGAATAAATGAAAACTTTCTCTACAACTTTATTTAGTGCTTCAACGCGACTTTCTTTACTGCTTCAACATGTTGTTCATGCTGTATTTTTTAATTTAATTAAAAAATACAGCATGAACATCATCTTGAAGTGAATTCTGTCTTCCAAGAGTTTCAAAAACCTGGTTAAATCTGCATTAGCTTTTATAAAAAAATGTTAAAAGTCTTATGTAGGGTCTTATGTAGGGTCTTATGTAGGGTCTTATGTAGGGTCTTATGTAGGGTAAATATAGCAGATTAAACTTGCAATTGTCATTCGAAGCATCATTTTGGCGTTAATTGAACAATGTTTACAGTAAAACAAAAAATCTCACAAAGTATTTAGAAAAGACCTTGAGGTATGTAATTTAATTGAACAATGTATTTCAAAAATGTGACGAGTCACAAATTTGAAATTTTACAGTAGAGTGAAAAATGTTTCTCCTGTAAAAAATTTTATCTTTATTTTATCTAAAAATTTTTCTTTTATCTAAAAAATCCTTTATTTTATCTAAAAAAATCTTTATTTTATCAAAAAAATTTAATCTTTTCCTAAAAAAAAATATTTTTTTCAAATAACCTCACTTTTGAAAAAAAGTGTGACTCGTCACGGTTCCGTATTTTGGGAGCATGGCCAACTGTAAAAATTCTTGATAGACAATGGAGTGGTGTTTAGATCAAATGAGTTTTTAAACATATATGAGAAGTAGTGTGTACAAAAGTATAGAGGGGCATGCAGATCATCAGAAAATGGGATTTTTGAGCGTAACTGCCGCACACTTAAATGTACAGGAGCAATAGCATAAATATGTCATTTACAAGCAATATTTTAGTGTAATACAACACCAAAAATTGGAATACAAGAAGAGTCTCACCTGCTTCTCTAAATTTTTTATTTTAATTTTTTTTATTTTACTTCACCTCCTCAAGGCCGAGAAGGCCACTACAGACGAGGAGGCTACTTATTTTGTGGCTATAACCCTCTCTCAACTCTATAACTCTGAAACACGAACCTTGACAAACAAGGCCGCTGCGCGGAGAAACGAGTTGAGCGCGGTACTACCAGGGACGGGGTGGGGATCGAACTCGGAACCACTCGTTTATGAAGCGAGCGCTCTACCACTACACCACTACCGCATGTAAATAACAGTATGTCTGACATCTACTAATTCAAGGAGAGAAAAACATAAAAAACTTTGGTAAACTCACAACAGGTTATGGCAACTTATAGAATGGGAGAACAAGTTTGCGCTATTTCCATTAATGTGAAGTGCACATCAATTTGGAAAATTGGTAATGTAATCAACATACTCACAAATGTTGAAATTGGTGGTGTACCAAGGCATGTGCTAGACAATAATAAGAATGACAATGATGAAAGTGAATTTAAAAAATTTAAAGAATTTGAAGATGAACTGAAGGTATATTTATGAAAAGGGACAAAGAAATAAAAAAAAACAGTCACCATGAGGTTATAGAAGTCATTGATAATATCTTTCTGTTAATCAGATAATCAATTTAATTGACTATTTGAGATTTATTTGAATAAACTATTATTAATTTAAATGTAAATATCATGAGCTTTTTTTGTGCATAAATATGCCCTTATGAGTTTTGTTGATTAAGGCAAATGCATTTAAATGTGTCTCAAGTTTGATTACGGCAAATTTATTTAAGTATGGCCAAGGGAGTTTTGTTGGTTTGCTCTAGAGAGTTTTATTGACTAAATACATAAATTATATGCTCTAGAGAGTTTTATTGACTAAATACATAAATTATTGACTAAATACATAAAATAAATCATTGTTCAAAAACTTTTATGAGGCAATGATGATTGATATAATTTTTTGAGGGAACTAAGCCCCTACAGAGAAGTTTGTTTTAGAAGTTTAATTTATGACCTTATAATATAAGTACTTACACAATTCTCAATACTCAAATCTAGTTTATGCAATTACTATTTAGCAATATTTTTGGTTTAAATTTTTCCATTAAATGATTACTTTAAAACATTACACTAGAATAAATCACCTAGGCTAAAACCATCTTGAATAATCACTGTAATTTATAGCCAAACAGTATTATTGTCTGAATATGTTTATTATACATCATAATTGTATTGATTTGATAGCAAGTATTATTTGATATTTTTTAGGATATGATGGCTAAATTAGTAAAAGAAATGCCTAATGAACCTGTTGTTTATTTAATCAAATTGTTGCAAAATATACAACCTAAAAAAGTAAGTTTTTCTATAGATAATTTTAATTTATTTTTTAATTTTTAGTTTATATATATATATATATATATATATATATATATATATATATATATATATATATATATATATATATATATAATATATGTAATATAATATATATATAACCCAAATAAACTCTCTCTCTCTCTCTCTCTCTCTCTCTCTCTATATATATATATATATATATATTATATATATATATATATATATATATATATATATATATACACACACAGTGAAGAACCCAGAGTTTGTTTGGGGATACCGTTTTTTTTTCAGCAATGTTGAGGGGGGAGGGGGGGATTATGTTTTTGATTTCCATATCCCCCTCATTCTCCCCTAGTTAAATAGGTGCCGCAACAATAATTTTTAATCATCATTTTCTTTATAATCATTTATGTTTATCTTGTTCAGTTTTATCCTATAACAAGGTGTTGATTTAAAAGCATTTTTTGAATACATGAATTTACTGGTGGATGATGTTTATTTAGCTAAAATAAAACTATTTTACTTAAGATTTTAATAAACAGTTTTGTTGCATATATCACGCTATCAGTAAATAATTATTGAAAATTGTTTAAAGTATTTTAACAGTTATTAACTATATTTTAGTAAATTTAATTAAAAATATTTTAAACAATTTTTAATCAATATTTACATTACATAATATATTTACATTTATTATATTGCGTAAAGCATTTAATAAATGTATTAAATAAACTATTCAAATAAAAACATAAGCATTTAATAAACTTATTTTCTATTATTTTAAGTTTAAAATTTTGATTTAAATATAAGTAATATTCTGTTCATTTAACTTTTGATTTAAATATTAGTAATATTCTGTTCATTTCACTTTTACTAAAGGTTATAATTTTTAAAGTGATTTTAAGGCGCCTTATAAATTAAAGATAATTAAAGAGATAATTACAGTAAACATAATTTTAAAAATATTCTATTATTTTGATTAGAAAACATATTATATTTTTAAAAACATACATTTAAAAAAATATAATTTTTTAATTATTAAGAATAATTTAAAAAATTACATTTGAATAAATAAATTACATTTACTATGGGTTATTTTAAACAGATCTAAATAAAATATTTATTAAGTTATTAAAACCTTTTTTTCTATTATTTTAAAAAGAATATTGAAAGGAAAAAAAACTGTTCAAAAAAGTTTATACTTTGTTTTTTTTTGTTTTTCTTGTGTTAACTAAAATAGCAAGCTTAAGATCAAAAGTTCATTTATTTAAAAATTAAACTTGCGCGATAGTTACCATTACTGATATTTTTTACTTTTGTTCATTTATTATCAAAAGCAGTTTACTCTTAATTGCCAAAAACAAAAATTAACCTTAGGCTGATTATATATTAAAAAATGTTTTTACTTTCAAAAAAAAAAATCTTTTATACATTCCATTGTTAGAGTAGAACAGGGTAAAATGAAATAGCGGGTAGAATGAAATATTTATGACAATGTTTATTCTTTCGCTCTTAATTAATTATTGAATAATCTTTTTGAAAACATTTTTCCATAATGTTGTAGAAAATACTTTTTTGAGTAAGATGATGTTAAATTTTATTTTTAATAAAAAATTTTTTGTTACAAATTGTTAAGTTTTAGAATGTGTAATATTTTTTTTTATTATTTTGAAAAATGAACTTAAAACTCTCGGAAATTAAATTTGATATTATTGAACCTAAAAGGTTTTATGGTACAACTTTTTACGCTGATCAAGAATCTTTTTTCAAAATTAAATTTTCTATTTAGGAAAAAAAGTTATGAGTAAAAAATGGAAAAGGAGAATTTTGAGATTAAATGAAATGAAATAATAATAAGTGAAGCAATTCTCAAATGCGGCTTTTTTTAAAATTAATTCTTAAGTGACCAATAAATCTCCAGCTATAAATTTTTGTATAAATTCCAATGAACGAATTTCTGAATGACTTTTACTGACTGCTTTTATTAAATGATTCTAATAAATGAATGAAATACTTATTTGAATAAATAAAAATTTTTAATTTTTATTTATTCAAATAAGCTCAATATTCTCTACAACTTAAAAAAAAAATTTTTTTTGCCGTAAAAAATAAATAATTAAAATCCCTAACTATTCCATTTGACCCCATTTTACTATATAAAATTTTGCAACGTGGTTTTAAAATTAATTTTCGTAAAGACTTTCATTTTTTTTAAAGTTATGTCCAATTAATAACCGAAGGCAAATTACGTCATGTAGTTATGTAAAAAAGCAATTTCTTTTTAATTCTTTTTATTTTCTTGAAGAAAAAATGAGGTAGCTAAATTAAACTGAGAATTATTTCTATACTACTGCATTTAAAACTAATTTTTTTTCTTTAAAAATCAAAATTAAAAATAAAAACAATTTTCGAGCACTTAGGAATAGTCACAATAAAATGCTCATATAGAAACATTTCATGCCACAAGTAAACCATCGGCTGTGAGACTATTTATCATATTTAAGAGCTGCTAGTTGAGGATCAAGGGTTCCTTTTAATATTGCATTTAAATACTTCCATGCAACTAAGGTGTTCATTTGCTTAACAAAATCCTTACTGATAATAACTAGAGGCTCCAGGAGGGCAATTAGCGTAAATTTAGTAATTCTTTTAAGCTTATCAACTTTAGAAAATAGTTTACCAACTGCTCAATACTATCCTTTAACTGAAGAAGTTGGCCCATCAAGCTTTTTCACAATAATACAGAATTGTTTGAATCATTTAAATCATTTTGCTTATCATAATTTTCTAATTTTTTTTAGTATTGAGCACTCAACACTATCACTGATTATATAGCTATCACTGACCATATCAACATTTTAATTATTATTCATTTCTGTTCCAACATCATTCCAACATTTTTAGTGTTAAATCTAATAGAAGATGAGTTAAATGTTATTGATGGCTCTAACTTTTTCTAAGCTTTTTTTTTGGTGTCAATTGAGTGTTCCTTGGTCGATTGACTTTTGCACAAGAACCAAAGCTTGTCAGTTTCTTTAACATCCAGTCCACACTCTTGCATAGATGTAACAATGCCTTGTTTTTCTTGCTAGGTTTTAATCTAAATAAGCTTTTTTTGTGGAATATTTAAGTCACATTTGCAATGGCAATGAGAGGGTCATCACAAAATTCTTTTCAAAGGACAATACTCTTACTGCAGTAAATAGTTCTGCATTTGTAAAACGCAATGTCTAAAACTATTAAAATTACATGTCTTACATATTTGGCTTTTGCATTAAAGAGGAAAACAATGTTCTATTTCACAATATTGCAAATATAAGTAATTATGGAAAAAAATGATTTAATGAAACTCTATTCATTTATTGAAACTATCAATTAGCTAAAGAATAAATCAATTATAAGTATTTTATCAAGTTGTACAAAAATTATCTAATTTGAAAAATATTAAAGTTATTTAAAATAAAACTAAAAGCTTCATTTTCATTATCTAAGAAGTCAAATAATTATTGAAATTTTTTTTTTAATACAAAATACTTTTCATTAAATTAATTATATTATAAAAAAACTAAATAACACTTACCTAAATGTCAAGTGTTATTAGAGGAATTAATACAATTTTTATAAAAACAATAAAAATTTTCTTTTTGCCAGAAAGTTATTGTCAGAAAGTTATTGTCATCCCAAAAATAACAGTAACAGTCTTGATCAAAATCTTAATTGTATCTTGTGTGTAACACGTGTGTGTGTGTGTAACACGTGTGTAAGTGTGTAACACGTGTGTGTGTGTAACACGTGTGTGTAACATGTGTGTGTGTGTGTAACACGTGTGTGTGTGTAACACGTGTGTGTGTGTAACACGCGTGTGTGTGTGTAACACATGTGTGTATATATATATGTATATATATATATATATATATATATATATATATATATATATATATATATATATATATATATATATATATATATATATATATATATATATGTACGTATACGTATTAGTGCTTGCAAATATATTCGTGAGAGTGCTCGATGAATGATTTAAATTAAAACAGAGCTGTATTTACATAAATTATTTATAACTAAAACTGCATATTTTTCACAACTATAAGTTTCATGCTAAATGCAATCATCAGGTGTAAATATGTTTTTGTTTTTTTTTTGCGAGAAAAAATAGTTTATACATATACATATATATATATATATATATATATATATATATATATATATATATATATATTATATATATATATATATATATATATATATATATATATATATATATATATATATACACACAGTAATGTGCTGAGTTTGCACCAGCCTTGACAGAGCCAGATGTATAAAAAAAAGGTTGATTGCATTGGCTCCTAACCATTCAGACATGAGTTATATTTAGACAAGATAATTGTTTTTTTTTTTATCCAAGCATGAAGAGCCACTGCATCAAAGACTGCAGCAATGAAAGTACAGAGATTTTTATGATTAAAATACTGCAGTCAGTATGTTACAAATAGTAGCATTTCTACAAACATAATTTTAGCAATGTTTTCATTGTATATTTTATTGCCAAAGAAGCTTTTAAGAACATAAACTGAAACCTTAGGTTTGCATTTCATGGCTAATAATTTCCAAATAGTTAAAACTTTTGTTTAATTCCATATAAAGCTATTAAAATATCGAACACTCATCTATGATCAAGAAATTAGTGAATTTAATACTAAATCAATAAAAAATATTTTATTTTCTAAATATAAATAAAATATTAAAATCTAAATATATTGGATACATCTGCATATATTAGCTTACTATATTTACTTATATTGCTTATATTTGCTAACATCTGCCTATACTTACTATATTTTGCTTTATGTTTTAAAATGCACAATTTAACCCAGGCACTTCTTTTAGAAACAGAAGAACGACTTAAAAAGTTTTTTTTTGTAATAAATGTCTTTTATATGTAAAATATAACATTTTATCTAATTTTTAGTTTTAATTTTTTTATTATTTGAAATGTTCTATTGCTAAAGAGAAAATTTATTTCTATCATGTATTCACCACTATATTTCTCAACTTTAGGTTTGCAACATGGTTAATCCTGTTCCCAATAATGAAATAAAGCTAACAGGCTCTTCGATACCAAAGAAATACTCACAAGACCCTCAAGGTAAAAAATATTTCTTTTAAAGTTGATATAGTTTAGTTTTAACTGTGATTTTGCCTTCTTTACAAAATGCACTGTGTATTATTATTTTTAATTGAATGTTGATTTTAAAAATAAAATGAGTTTTAAATTAAAAAAATGTAATTTTGTCTAACTGTTGTTAAAATTGTTGAACAACATAATTGTCATATCCAAAATCAGTATATTTAGTGATGTTTAGTGGTTTAAATTTGTGGCATGTTGTGACAATTTTATAGGCTTAACCCTATGCCGCAATTGAATTATCTTAATTAAAATAACTAATCTGGTTATTAAAACAATATAATATCTGGTTATTTTATTAGGAATAGTTATTAAACTATACCATTCCTTGGAATGTGTTTCTACCCAATATATTTGCTAGGTTTTTTATATAATATATTTGTTATTTTTATATAATATATTTGTTTTACATCACAAAGTCACTTAGTTACTGTTGCACTGTAATGTTTTCAATTAAAGTTTTATTATTTTTCTTGACAGGGGTTTTATTTTCAGAATCCTGTCTGTTAGCTACCATAACTAGTTGTCCTTCTTAAAATTTATATTAACTTACCTATACTTATCTGTCTTTCATTTTCTTTATTTATTATCTTTCATAATCTTTATTTATTTTATATATTTTTATATCTTTATTTATTATATATTTTATAGAATTTTCGAATTAAAAAAAATAAATAAAAATAACGTGTTTTTTTTTTTTTTTTTTATGTATATAACGTATATATATATATATATATATATATATATATATATATATATATATATATATATATATATATATATATATATATATATATATATATATATATATATATATATATATACATATATATATATATATATGTTTTAGTTGCTAAAACTACAAATACATAAAGCATATATATATATATATATATATATATATATATATATATATATATATACATATATATATATATATGTTTTAGTTGCTAAAACTACAAATACATAAAACATATATATATATATATATATATATATATATATATATATATATATATATATATATATATATATATATATATATATATATATATATATATATATATGTTTTATGTATTTGTAGTTTTAGCAACTCTTTACATTATAACACCTATTTAAAGATATAATAAAAAAACATCAAAATCACAGATATCCTGAATATCGCTCAAGGAAATTTAAAACACTTACATTTACAAATATTTTTGTAATTAAATAAATAATATGCAATATGATTTTAAAATAATCATACATATGAATGCTTTATGTATTTTTAATTATATGATTAACTTGTAACGTCATTAAATTTTAAATTCTTTTATTATAGTTATACTGCCTGGTAGCAAACCCCCTGTATCTCTTTGGTCAAAAGGTGTTGATGAAAAAGAAAATGATAGTATTAACCAAGTTATTTACTCTGAAAAGTTTATAAAAAAGATAAAAGAAAATGGTTTGAAAAGTTATTTTAATTATTTGTTTTATGTTTAAAAAAGAATTGATTTTTAAACATTTTCATAATTTCCATAATACATGTGGTAGTGGTGTAGTGGTAGAGCGCTTGCTTCATAAGCAAGAGATTCCGAGTTCAATACCCACCACATCCCTGGTATTACTGGTAGTACTCAAGTTGTTTCTCGGCGCAGCGACCTTGTGAGTCAAGGTTTGTGTTTCAGAGTTATAGAGTTGAGAGAAAGTTATAACCCCAATTAAATAGCCTCCTTGTCTGTAGTGGTCTTCTCAGTCTTGGGGAGGTGATGTAAAAAAATTAATATATATATATTTTTTTGAACGTGATATTTTGTTTGAATGAAAATTTAATAATTTTATAGAGTGTTTAAGATTTTAGAAGAAAAATTTAAGTTTTTATAGAATCAGGAAAAATTAAAAAAAACTTTAATTTTAGTATTGTGATATGCCCTGACAGTGATTTAAACAAGAAGACATATGAAAAACAAGATAAAAGCCTGGTAGTAGTTGCCAGTAAAATCATGATATTGCCATAGTGAAATTCAAATGTTTATTGCTTATAACACCATTGCCATGGTAACATCACTATAAGAGTAGAATTAAGATGCAGAGTAAAAACAAAAAGTTTTTTTGAGTTCTCGTAAGAGGCGTGCAATTGCATGGTTTATATCACCACGCATATAGGGTTATTCCATATCAAATCACCTAAAGGCTCCTAGGGTACCACCTCAAAATTGCTTTAAATTTTGACCACACACAGATTTTATGAAAAAATTACAATCCAGAAAATTTCAGCTTGATTGACCAATTTGTTCAAAAGTTATGATTGAATTAAAAATTACCAAAATCTGAAAAATTTGTGTATCAGGAGCTTACAGCAGCTTTTTTTGATTTTTGACAAACCATAACTTTTTAAATAAAGATGGTGATCACCTGAAATTTTGGATTTTTTTGTTACCTTTTTGTACTTAGGATCACCTCTTGTTAGAATAATCAAAATTATGCATTAAAAATTAATTTAGCACATGCAGCAGCCTATTAAAAAATCCCTTTTTTTTAAATTATGATAAATTACATCGACTTTGCTGGCATAGAAAGTAGCGTAAACAGTTGAAATAAATTATGAAACTTTTTAATGTTGAGGTTCTATATATAGAGAATCACCAAAAAAAATTTAAAGACCTATACTCTATCTCATGACATGATTGTAGCCTTTTGAGAGTGATGATATTTTTAAAAGGAGAACAAAAAAAAAATACCACTTACCACATACAAAATTTTTACCTTAAATTTTATACAAAGTATACTGTAAAAAAGTGCATTCAAAGAGTAAGATAGTCAGTTAAAAGAAAAAGTATGTATACATGAAACTAATTAGCTTATCTAATTAGCTTATGAAACTAATTAGCTTATAGATTTATGTAACTCATAATACTGTCATAGTCATTACTAGCAAGAATATAGTCACGAGCACATACTTTTAATCAATGGAACACTTATTTGACATATTATCTTGTCAAATGGAACCCAACACTGACTTGATCAGGCATCATTTGTCCATTTTAAATTTAATTTGTTTCTTTGCATAAACTTCATATTAACATCTTGGTTTTCATTACAAATATCAACCACAAGCCCTACGTACCATTCTTCATCGTAAAAGCGTGCAATATATTTACTGGGTTGAAAATTTGAAGGATCTTTTTTAATCAAATTAACATCATTTAACACATGAGTATCATAGACAGTATCACTAGAGATTCTTCGTAAAAACAATTTCTCTCCATCTGGTACAAAACAGTGATAGCTTCTTGTTCCTGGAACTGTGCGCATCCCTTCATATTGTTTCTGAAGGTTAAAAGTTGTTTTATGGTTATTGATATCGTCACTTGAAAGATAAAATATGTTAAAACCTTTGATGTTTTTTTGAGCCCATGTAAACAGATCTTGTGGTGTGAGAATCTGATTTGTAATTGCTGCTCGTAGACTAGCTTTTGCTGCTTCTCTTTTTATAGTACCTCCTATTCGATCACATGGACTTTTGCCATGTGACATAGCAAAGAAGTGATGCTCAGCATTTATTTGGTGATCTACAATGTGATAAATTAAGTTTATTAGACATTTGTAGTTTATATACTGTGACGCAGCACCATCACTGAAGTATTTAACCTTATTCACTGTGGGTAGTTTGATTTTGACCATAGGGAGCAACTTTGTGAGAAAACAATGGACTGCTGATTGGTCATGACAAAGATGGTCAGAAATTAAACAATAGCATTCACATTTAAGGTGATCTTTTTCATCTTTGTAATAAATAACAAATGGGTGTAAGGTAGCTTGATCGGCTTGCCAGTAAAACTCTTGTATAGCATCTTGTACAAGAAAACTATAGTTTTCTGCAAAATCCATCAGAATAGTGCAGGTATATTGGTCTAATGTTTGTTTTGCCTCTGATAAGTAGAAAGACTGTGCCTCTTTAATAAAGTGGTGGTGACAAAGGTCATTCAAAGTTTCACTTAAAGTTTCAATAAATTCACTAATGCTTGTTGGGACTGTAATAAGTGCAGTTTGGTCAGTTGACACCCATTATTTATATGTGATCTGATAATCAAAATCAAAATCATTCTTTTCAAACACAATTTCCAAGTAAGTCTTCGAATTTATTTAACCAGGGCAGTTGGAACATAGATGAAACATGCAGTTTCGACTATCTATATTACAAACACATACTTTCATTAAATCTTTGTAATATTTTAAATGGCTGTTAGGAAGAGCAGAGCACATCAACTTAGCATTTTGATGGTAAGAACATACACAAACTGAGTGGTTTCCACTACTATCAACAGTAAGGCACCACTTTGGCCTTAGTTAACAGAACTTGCTGAATCCAACTTTGTGTTCAGGGTATAACTTCTTAAATTCCAGATGAAGTTCTTTTAAACAAACTAATGTTAAGTGTTTTTGTTTATGAGCTTTAACATTATTTATACGCACAGAAACAAAGTCTTTTTTTCCTGGACATTGTCTAGTGTATTCGTCAGATTCATATATTTCAATGACTCTCTGCTTAACAATATCCTCCAAAGGATGTCCTTTTTTAACCTCAGGTTTAGCAAGTATTCCCTTTTCATTTTTTAGCTTTCTGGTTTTCTTAACAAGATGGTCTGAAACTTAAAATGCATTGCAAGTTTTTTTAATTGACCAACTATCAGGAGTTAATGTTAGTAGTTGAACTTTTTCTTCATTCGAACTGATTTTTACATTTTCCTTTATTGCATCTAAAAGTTTGTCTAAATCATTACAGTTAATGCACTTTTGTTTTTTCTCAGATATTATTTCTTTTGGGTCTATATCTAATGCTGATGCTACTAGGTTTGTCATACTTGTTTCCAGTTTTTTAACTTTTTGCTTTCCATATTCTAATTTGTCACGTTTACGTTTATTTTTTAGAGGAGATATTTCCAGTAAAGAAGCTTATTTAAAACTGTCTTATTTAGGTCTTAAGAACTTAACTCCGCATCATCAACATCTTTGTCTTCATCTTCTTGACTAAATTTTCCTGTAATTTATTCAAGTTTGAATTCATTCAAACAGTTAGTGCAAAGGTTTTGACGAGGTTTGATCTTAAGTTGACTTGCTGTTAAATTATCAACTTTACACAATCCCTTAATAATTTTTTTCTTGTGGACTTTAAATGGATCACTGCATTATTTTTGAAGCGCTTCATATCTAGAAATATAGGCTTTTTTATGGTGAAAGCATATCTCCTCATTTAGTTCAAAAGTGTGTCCAATTCTTTGAATTAAAACTTCAGCATCTGTGCTCACAATATCTTTTATTCTTCTAATCATTCTACAATAATAGGTTTTGTCACAATCTTCATTTAAAACTTTCCCCACACAACATTTCTCTGTCATTTTTTACTATTTTTATTACTAATCTACAAAGTTTAAAAAAGACATAAACATATTAAATCTCAAAGAAACTAACAAATATCAGACACTGATTATAGCACTGATTATGTCATTATTATTAGTACAAATTAGGACATTATGTCATTAAAAAGAAAACTTTTTTATCTGTGAATGAATATATTCATTCACAGATAAAAAAAAAAAATACTACTGTCATACAGTGGTTTATTTTGCACTTTTTGTGGACATTTGACTATACTTAGGAAAAATCTCTTTGTGCGACATGGAAAAACAAAACATGGTCATGATATATGTTTTTAGCTTAATTTTTGAAGTTCCATCATTAAGTAATACTCCTGAGGGCATACCATAACTCTAGACACCAAAATAACACACTGCAAAATACCCTAAAAAAAAGTCAGTAATGACATTTTTTCAGATAGGTATACATAGTCAAAATTCATGTTTTAAGGGTAACCTTTCAAGCTTTATCCATTAAAAATACTCTTATGTTGATCACCATGATTGCACTATAAACTCTAGGACACCTAAAGGGCACTTTAAAGCATGGGTTACAAAATTTAATACAGGATTCTTATATAAATACATGTTTTTACATCAGTTGGATAAAAAATATTCCGCTAAAAATATTCACAAAATCATAAAATATATAAAGGACACAAAGAACACACACTGAAAAACATAAAAAAGACGCTAAAAAAGAAAGTCATTAACTTTTTTAAATAATTATATAGTCGCAATTTGTTTTTGAAATATTTTTTTAAGCTTCGTGAATTAAAAAAATCATATAATAACTGTAGGACACCAAAATGTTTGATTTAATTAGTTATTGTCTATTAAAATAAAGTTAATATACGATGTTACATGTGTTTTTAATTGCCATACATCTAAAGCGATAAATCTAGGACCCCATAAAATTTTTAAATAAATGAAACATTTTTTCTATTATATGTTAAATTTTAAAAGTTCGATGATCTTGTTGTGGTTTTAAATACGAAGATTTGAAGACTAAAAACTTTTAAATTAAAAGCACGTTTAAGTAGTTAAG